ACATACTTACATACATACATCAGAAAATATAAATAATCACCATAAATAAGACTTATCAATGTATAAATAAAACATAGACTACTGAATATAGAACAGTTATTTTATTACTTATCTAATAATTAGTTAAATTAGTTAATTAATATAATATTCCCGTATGTGTTTGTTCAGTAAGCTGGTGGTTATTATATTACCTCGTGAATATATTAAATTTGTCATCGTATTTAAGGACGCGTTTTGCAGATTTTTCTTTATATATTTATTAATTTATTTTTATTTATCGTATGTATGTATGTATGTATGTATGTATGTATGTATGTATGTATGTTGATTCTTGCTATAATGAATGAATATTGAAGGAATATTCTCGTGGGTTCTTATACACAAATGAATAAATAACTTTTAAATAAAACCGATTATAGTGATAAATTAAGTAAATAACTGAATAATCTCAGGTTATGTATTAAAATCGGTTATATAACGTAGTCCAAAACCGGAATTCTAGTACGGTAATTCAAGTCCGGATTTGGACGGGATTGAACCGGAACAGCATGTAGGAGGAACTAAATCGGAACACCGTGTGGGAGGAACTAAACCGGAACACCATGTGGGAGGAACCAATTGAAACAGAAAGGGAGAATCAAACTGAAACACTATGGAGGAATTGGGACACAGGGAGGAATCAAATGAAATACCAGGGAGAACGAATTAGAACACCATGTGGGAGGAACTAAATCGGGACACCATGTGGGAGGAACTAAACCGGAACACCATGTGGGAGGAACTAAATCGGAACACCATGTAGGAGGAACTAAATCGGAACACCGTGTGGGAGGAACTAAATCGGAACACCATGTGGGAGGAACTAAACCGGAACACCATATGGGAGGAACTAAACCGGAACACCATGTGGGAGGAACTAAACCGGAACACCAAGTGGGAGGAACTAAATCGGAACACCATGTGGGAGGAACTAAACCGGAACACCATGTGGGAGGAACTAAATCGGAACAGCATGTGGGCGGGACTAAGCCAGCTGTCACGCCCACACACACCTGCTGCTTAACCCAATTAACCTGTGTGACATTATAATTCAAGGAACGCTAATGACCGACTCCCACACACGGTGCTTGTGAGTCAAAGGAAAAAGAAAAGAAAAGAAAAAAGATTCGAAACCGGAGTCGAAACTAGATCTGAATCCTGGGCACGCACACTAAGATCACAGTGGGTTGGATTAGGTTATGTGATACGTTTGGAGTGAGTCAGTGAGTCAGTGAGTCAGTCAGTTTGTGAAGGAGTGAACTAGTTAGCGAAGGAGTGAGTCAGTTAGCGAAGTAGTGAGTCAGCGAAGAAGTGAGCAAGTTAGCAAAGGAGGGAGTCAGTTAGCGAGACAGTCAGTTATCGAAGGAGTGAATTAGTTAGCGAAAGAGTCAATAAGCGAATGAATGAGTCAGTCAGTTATCGAAGGAGTGAATTAGTTAGGGAAAGAGTCAATAAGCGAATGAATGAGTCAGTCAGTCAGCGAATGAATGAGTCAGCAAGTTAGCGAAGGAGTGAGTTCAGTTAGCGAAGGAGTGAGTCAGTCAGTCAGCGAAAGATGTAAAAACTAAACCAAATGGACTTAAACCAAATGAATAACTTTAAAAAACACATCAATAACACACTTGAGACAACACTTATTAGTTTATAAAGTTATGGTTTATGGGAACTTTATGGCCAAGATTACCTAATTTAATTGAATTTTTTACTCTATTACTAAATTGAAGGTATAGAGTTAATTTGTTGTTTCAGTATTGTCTATTAATTACTTCATATAACTTTTATTTACATGAACTTAACGTAAGACTATTTGAGAATCTATTTGTTTTTTCTCTTACGTGGATCAGTGATATGTGTTCCCAAGTCCAAAGAGACATAGGAGAACTGCCTGAGCAGTCCTATTGCTGTAGATGAGCTCTCATATTCCAATTAGGAGAGGAAATCGAACGTAGTAACCCTTAAGAATCCATATATAAATCAAATCCTAAATGGACTAGATAAGATACGTTCTCATACTTCCAATTAGGAGTGAAAGTCGATCTTACGAACCCATAAAAATCTATATTTCAGATCAATTGTCTTGTTACATACGTTCTCACATCACCAATTAGAAAAAATATATATATATTATAGGAACCTTTGAAAATCTACCTTTGAGTCGCAGCTTAAACGGCCCAGATAGATACGTTCTTACATGTCCAGTTAGGAGGAAAATTTAACGTAGGAACCTTTGAGAGATGTGAACGTGGCCGAGGTGTAGGAGGTCGGCCATTTACGGTGACCAGGTGGAAGAGTATTTCCGTGTTTATTCAAGTGTGTGTGTGTGTGTGTGTGTGTGTGTGTGATGCTGGTGTGTGTGTGTGATGCTGGTGTAGGAGTGACGCTGGTATAGGAGTGACGCTGGTGTAGGAGTGACGCTAGTGTAGGAGTGACGCTGGAGTAGGAGTGACGCTCATATGAATAACAGTCATTTAACATGGATACCACACACAGATTTGCCATTAACTATTTTGCCATAACCATTTAGATTGCCATAAGTGAATTACCTAACTTCAGCTGACTATAATAATTAAGGTTGCCATAATCTATACTTTGCCATTACTGGATTGAAATTGTGGCGTAGAAAATGTCTCTCAGAGGATCAGTCAGTCAGTGAGAAGTAGAGAGAAGGACAGAAGGAAGTGATTAAGGGCTGTAGCATGGTGGTGGTAATAGTATGGCAACAGCAGCAATAGTGTGTCAAACAACTGTTGTGGTAGTGGAGGTAGTGGTGGTGGTAGTAGTGGTGATAGTAGTGGTTTTGGTGGTAGTGGTGATAGTGGTGGTGGTGATGGTGGTGATAGTGGTGGTAGTGGTGATGGCAGGAACCATCTCCATGTTAATATTTTTATCAAATTAAATCACCATGACAATACATCTCTATCACATATATTTCCCAGGTGCGAGAGGGAGATACGCGGGAAAGTTAAATGCCAGGCGATATTTATGATTTTTTTTCCCTGACGTCAACTGTTGATATGTTACTGAAGTAAATCATCCTTGGAATCGAAAAGAAAGAGAGAGAGAGAGAGAGAGAGAGAGAGAGAGAGAGAGAGACGAAAAACAACATTGTCAACTCCCTCGAGAACGAATGATTTTAACTTCCGGTATATTTTTCTGGACAAATAAACAGTGTTAGTAAAGAAAAAATAATAACCACAACCAGGAGGAAACAAAACAAAATCGAATTACACGAGAGAAAATATAAAAGAAGCGAATGAGAACAAACAAAAAACACTCGACAGCTGATACGGATGTTTTTGTTGACAATGGAACAAAAACGTCTCAGAGGCAATATAATATGATTAGCACTTCACCACCCCAGGATGATCGACGACGTCACAATTGGGAACGCCTGAAGTGGGGAACATTTTTTTTTGGTTACAGGCACACACACACACACACACGGCCTCAACCAGGTGACAAGTGTACGGCGGAAGCGTCTGGGGCTTATTGAATTCCTCTTGAAGTTTCAGACAGAATCATAAAGCGGTGGGGTGATACAGTGTGTGTGTGTGTGTGTGTGTGTGTGTAAGGATTGTAATGGAGCTGCCAAACATTTTAACCCATAATGTACGATGTTACTGAAGTTTAATCCACACCTTTTTGAGATAAGTGGATTAGTACCTTGACTGAGAAAGTTTTGACCCCTTGAGTACTGTTTTTTAAGGGAAAGTTTGACCCCTTGAGTACTGTTTTTTAAGGGAAAGTTTGACCCCTGAGTACTTTTTTATTTAGTACAGTTAGTTAGTCTGTAGAGATAGGGTTTTTTTTTTTAACTCTTTTGCTGTGATTATAAAGTAGGTTAGAGTACGATGAAAGACCCTTGAATATATTGGCAGCCTCTTGAGTACATTGAATTAGTTCATTAAGATATTTACACCCACTGAGTACGTTCATCCGTGAGTACAATAACTTACATCTTTGAGTATTTCTTAACATAACATAACATAATCCAATCCAACCCAACCTAACATTAACTTAACCTAAACTAACCTAACCTAACCTAACCTAACCTAACCTAACCTAACCTAACCTAAAAATTCACGAAATAAAATAAAATAAAATAAACTTCTGAACTTTTAATAAACTCTTTCTCGACCAGTTATCAGTGAGACGATAATAAAAACATGATAACTCCGGGTCGTATAAAAGTCTGGGAGGTGTTACAGTTCAGAGACTTATAACAAGTTTCGATCCTGTTTAATTCTGGGTTGGTGAACTTTCAGAACCGGTTATCAGTGGCAGCGGGGAAGTAAAATCGAAACTAAAATAAAAAATAAAAAAAATAAAAATTAAAACTTCCGCCATTTTAAGTCTGGGAAAATTAAGAGTAAATTATCATTATTGCTTCACTATTAATTATTTTGAAAGTTGTAGACAGTTATTGGAGAACTTTTGAGTAGGGGGTGAGGAGGAGTAGGGGAGGGTAGGGGAGAGGGGTAATGAGGGGTAGGGGAGGGTAGGGGAGAGGGGTAAGAAGGAGGAGTACGGGAAATAAGTATCGTTCAAGGAAAAATTGCGATAATTTCCCCGTAAAACTGCGACTACATATTTTCTCTCCTAATTTTTGAGTTATAAATTAGAAGTGTCATTACGATAACATCTCTCCCAGTGTAAGAAATTTGGGGCATATTTATAAAGGCCTGGGACACATTAAAAAAATAATTCATCTATAGAAAGTTGAATTTTACAGATAATTCATATTAAATAACTTGAATGATGTAAATAAGAAGAAATAAATATATCTCCTGCATTTTAGTTTCACGAAAGATCTAATGAGATGTTTTGATTACAGTAAAATATTAAACTTCCGCAGAACATTATAAAAGTCTTTCTTTCTTCTGTAAAACAAAAATTAACCATTACTGATAAACTTCTTTTCACCAACGAAAGAAACTGGTAAGAGAATGTGTGGTTATTACCTTACTAGGGTAGGATTGTAGTGAGGGGAGAGAGAGCGTCCATGCCACACGTCCTTCCCGCACCACTGTCACAGCTACACTGACTGACCTCCTCCGTTCCTCCCCAGTCCCCACGGTCCCCGACTAACCCTCCTCCTCTACCCCCTCCTCCCCCCACAATTATGAATATCTGTTTATCTATCTATATGTCAATGTATATCTGTCTGTCTGTCTGTCTATCTGTGGTGAGACGAGGGAAACATAAGTCTCAAGAAAAACAGGAAATGACAGTGAGGTGTGTAGCATAACAAGCGTCGAAAGGAACACACACACACACGTTCCTTTGTATTTTATATGTTCTTACTTTTAATATTAACATTGTTGGATAATAATAAAAATAATGATGATGATGATGATGATGATGCATTAATAATAATAATAATAATAATAATAATAATAAAAGGGAGTAAGTGAAACACGGCTGCACATGTCCGTAGACTTTATCAGCGTCTCCAAAATTGCTATAATTCCTTTAACAACAAATAATTACATTGCACTATCTTTAACGAAAAAAAAAAAGTACTGAAACGAAAAGCAGTGTGTGTGTGTGTGTGTGTGTGTGTTTAGGGGTTAATAACTACTCCTCACCAGATAGACACAGGGCCGTGGAGTGGTGTAGGGGAGGCAGAGGGAGAGGAATGGACGACTTGGCTGGCTGGCTGGCTGGGGAGGGGGGACTAACATACTAGTTTGTAGAGACACTTCTGCCAGTAATTGCCACAAAGTCAGTACATAGCCATAACAAGTAGGGTACGCGTTTATAAATAATATAAACACCTTAACCTGAATTTGTATGATTTAATGGATATGTTTTCTATACTTTATTTCATCGAACCTTTTCTTGTAACATCAGAGGTCTGGATTTAAGTGTCCCCCCTTCCCCTCCCCCCTCCTCCTCTCTCCCCCTCCCACAGCAAGTTCGAGGTAAAGACGAAGAATCGAGTTATTGTAGTTTGTGTAAGAGTTCAATACCATTAGGGATAACATCTTCCTGTGTCTTAGGGTTGACTGAGATATATTGAGATGTATTCCTTAAAAGATCCTGAGAGGGGAATGATTTTTAAAATGGGATAATTTCAGAGATCCAGGGCCAGTTAGCTAAAGATCTGTTCCTCCCGACACTCCTAACTCTTCATGTCCTGATTCCAAATTGATGTGGCCAGACTCTCACTCTGTATACCAAGATCCCCAAACACCCACCTGTCATTATAAGACTTTTGTACTCTTCACCACCACACATTCACTCCTTGGTTGTTCCACGGTAAAGCACCAAATCAAAGAGAGAGAGAGAGAGAGAGAGAGAGAGAGAGAGAGAGGTCTCACTCACTCTCTCTCTCTAAAGTCATCACCCTCACCGCTGCCGAAGGAGGAGACCGGGTGGTGGCGGTGTGTGGCTGCAGGGGCTAGTGAGCTGGCAAGTGTCCTCTCCTAGCTATTAACATCATAGTATCTCTTTTAATGTCATTACTGGCTATTTGGCTTTCCTGGGAAGCTCTCGTGAGTCTGTTAATGGAACACTTAGTACGCGCGATGAATTAGTAATGATGTTAACGGAAGAGGGTGTGAAGAGGTAGGTGTGTGTGTGTGTGTTGTGTGTGTGTGTTGTGTGTGTGTGTGTGTGTGTGTGTGTGTGTGTTGTGTGTGTGTTGTGTGTGTGTGTGTGTGTGTGTGTGTGTGTGTGTGTGTGTGTGTGTGTGTGTGTGTTTCTAATTTATTCTCCTTGTACTGTATGGTAATCTCAGGTTATGTATTATACAGATACATACACATACGTTATGCATTAAGTGACACATGATAGGGATCAACACAGAGACACAGTGCTATAGTCCCCAGCATCACAGATTACGTTAAATTCTCACGTCTCAGAACGATTCCTCTTTCCTCTCCCTCTCTTCCCTTCCAACTCTCTCTCGCACTCTCCTACTCCCTATTCCCCTCCCCTCCACTTCAGCCCTTCCCTTCCTTCTCCCCCCTCCCTTCCTTCCTCCTGTCCACCCCCTCCCCCTTCCCCTCCCCCCCCTACCCTCCCCTCCCCTTCCCTCCCTCCCTCTTCCCTTTCCCTCCATCCACCCTCTTCCATCCACCTTCTCCTTCCCTCTCCATCCACCTTCTCCTTCCCTCCATCCACCTTTCTCCCTCCCCTACCCCTCTCTTCCCTTCCCTTTCTTCCCCTCTCTTCCATTACCTTTACGCCCATTAAATAACTCATATTTATCAGTACTTTATATTAATTAATGGCGGCCAAGGCTCCCGAGGTCAGATATTCAGAGGTTCTAAGATGAAGAAGATCGCTGGCAAGATATGAACCAGTGAGTGTAGCTGAAGATCTGTAGAGTCAAGGTCCCCCCCGCCCCCCCCCCGCCCCCCCCGCCCCTGCCCCCGCCACGCCCCCACTCACGCCCCAGCCACCCACCTCCCACTACCTTGAAACTAGACCCACTATTTTTCTTCGATTGAAATTCAAGATAAAATATTGATATGTCCCTCTCAAGATATCCGGCATCTTGGCACTCCCTTATATCAAACATTAGTGAGCTAACAATAGATCATTGACTGGCTTAAGGTGACTATATAAACAAACATTCCTCGCCACCGACAAACATTCATCAGTCAGATCAGGTGACGTGGAAATTTAAATCAACTAACCTCAACGAAGAGAAAATATTATTTACTCACCCGGGAATTATAACGAAGTCTCCCTCTAAATAGAAATCGTCTCTTAATTAAATGGTTTCCCCTTCACATACAGGTTACCTTGTCATGACGATATTATGAGGATATTATGAAGCACAGGTGGGTGTACACTGGAGCAGAATATTGGTATAACACTACAGTTATACAATAATAATAATAATAATAATAATAATAATAATAATGTTGGGCTCAAAGTATATGTTATCTTCGTCATTTGTTATATCTATCAGTTCATGCTTTACAACTGTCAATTCAGATTGCAAAACGTCATATATATTACCCCTCTTACGTCACCACCAACTACCCTTCTTACGTCACCACCAACTACCCTTCTTACGTCACCACCAACTACCCTTCTTACGTCACCACCAACTACCCTTCTTACGTCACCACCAACTACCCTTCTTACGTCACCACCAACTACCCTTCTTACGTCACCAATGACTGAAAAACTATCCATTAGGGCCGAAACATATCAGGTATCGTTTTTATTACGATTAGGAGTCGGAGAAGTATTATTGTTAACGTCTTATTTCTTCCTTGAGGGATAGATACATGGATAAAGCGGAGGGTTTCGAGTGAGAGATTCAATAACTTTACAGAACTTCACACAGAGGCAGGCAGGCAGGCAGGCAGGGAAGCAGGCAGGCAGGCAGGCAGGCAGGCAGGCAGGTGTGCAGGCAGGCAGGCAGGCAAGGCAGGCAGGCAGGCAGGCAGGCAGGCAGGCAGGCAGGCAGGCAGGCAGGCAGGCAGGCAGGCAGGCAGGCAGGCAGACAAGGTGTGGACAAAAGTGAGAAGATTTGCTTGTGTTAGAAGGGGCGGCTACACACACACACACACACACACACACACACACACACACAGTGCCTCCTCTGCCGTGAGATCTGTCAGCTGCATGCAACCCAAAGAGGAAGTGAGTAAAAAAAAGATTCGTAGAGGAGACGGACGATAACTTTTATAATACAGATAAAAATGTGTTATAGTACTGAGAGACAGATAGTGGTAGTGAGAATCTTGTAGGTGTGGTGTAACAGGTAACACTTCACAGGTAACCAATAAGCTTCTTACAGACACAGGTGGTAGAGGGGTGCAGTAGTGGTTGAGTAAGAGACTGTTGACCTACGAACGACTTTGTGGTACTGAATCGTCTTTTATTCGACGGTCTGCTAACTCAAGCCTCCAGTCGTTTGTTAACTCATATTGCGTGCTGCATTTGTCGAAGCTGTGGTCTCATTTTTGACCCAGTAGTAGTAGTAGTAGTAGTAGTAGTAGTAGTAGTAGTAGAAGAAATGGTAGTAATAATAATAAAAATAATAATAATAGTGGTAGTAATAGTCGTAGTAGTAGTAATTGGATTAGTAATAGTAATAGAAACAGTGGTAATAGTAATAGTAGTAGTAGTAAATGGATATTAAAAGTAGTAATAGTCATATATTCTATCATATTGTCATTTCCCTTCCTCATGTTCAATATACTCTCAGATATTGAACGTGTGTAGCCCTGGCGACGCTTGAAACCCAGATAATCTCTCACATATTGATACGTCACTCAAAAAGTAGATGGAATTTTTTTATCTTCAATATTGTTATGTGACGCGTGACATTATTGTAATAGTGTGATGTCCTCTGTAGCATACGTCTGTCTGTCTCTTTGTCATGTGGGGGTGAAGACCGTATCATCTGGTCATAATGTAATACACGGTCCGGGGCCACACTGTCTAATATTGCCTCCTCAACAGTATATAATTACGTGTTTTAAAGGTGGATGGTAGGAAGGCAACAGTTCTCACCTCACCTCACCAACACAACACAACAACACAACACGCCTTTAGATATATACAATTTAAACCATATTGTATCCCGCTTATATTAGTTCAACGGAAACTTTGTCTGATACGTGTTCGGGTCTGCTGGAAATTCCACTTACGGATGAAGAAAGTTTGTTTATGAATGTTGAGAAAACTGGAAGAAGAAAGAAGAAAGAAGAAGACCCTTGAATATTGAGGTCATGGTTGTCAGCATTTGACTGTCAACATCAACAAGACAAAATATCAAGGCTATCAGCATCAAGAGATCAAAAGAACCAGTCTGTCAGCATCAAGAGATCAAAAGAACCAGTCCGTCAGCATCAAGAGATCAAAAGAACCAGTCTGTCAGCATCAAGAGATCAAAAGAACCAGTCTGTCAGCATCAAGAGATCAAAAGAACCAGTCTGTCAGCATCAAGAGATCAAAAGAACCAGTCTGTCAGCATCAAGAGATCAAAAGAACCAGTCTGTCAGCGCCAACACTACACTGTCAGCATCATCAGGGCATAACCTTGCTTTACATCATTCAAAAACTCACAATAAAGTTCTCCAAAATTTTGAGTAAAGAAATTCACACACACACACACACACACACACACACACACAGGAGAGGGTTTCATTTCAAGAGCCTCTAACACTGTGTTGCATTCGCGGGGGGGAGGGGGGCAACACTTCCCTGATGATGTTCGTGTTTCTTTAGTTGGTTAGGTTAGGTTATGTTACGTTATGTTAGGTTTAGTTAGGTTAGGTTAGGTTAGGTTAGATTAGGTTAGGTTAACATTGGGATAATTACTCCTAATCTTCACGTGATCCTCTAAATAATCTCGAGGCATCATTATATAAATAGCAATTATGTAAAAAAAAATACATTCATAACTCTTTCTCTGTTTATGAGTTATTTTCTTATTTATCAAACTATTTTAATGATTATATTTCCTTCATCACGTTTCTTTTTATTTTGTTTTTCGTATTTATTGTTCGTTCAACGTTACTCCATTGTTTGTGTACATGAAGTCACGCACAAACATCACTGAAGCCTACCGTAGTGGAGCCTACCGTAGTGGAGCCTGACGTAGTGGAGCCTACCGTAGTGGAGCCTGACGTAGTGGAGCCTACCGTAGTGGAGCCTGACGTAGTGGGGGCCCGGCGTAGTGTGACGTCATTATCTCAGCCAATCAATACTGGGATGATTACTAAACAATAATAGGTCACTATTTTCGTCGTGTTATTGGTAGTGAAGGATTTCTTCTACCTGGTGTGTGTGTGTGTGTGTGTGTGTGTGTGTGTGTGTGTGTGTGTGTGTGTGTGTGTGTGTCATCATCATCATCACCTTGACCTCACTGCCTCATCTATCTTATCTCTCTACCATTACACACACACACACACACACACATACACACACACACACATACACACACACACACACACACACACACACATCCTAAGTCGTAGCATCTAACAACCTGTATAATTATATGTAGACACGGACAGACAGACAGACAGACAGACACAGACAGTCAGTATGTGAAATAACAGGAAGTTTTCAATGGTTACTAAGTTTATTCATTCAGAATCAACAATACAGGTAAATACATTAATTACAGGCACACACATTTTATAATACATTGAAGCTTCCATATAGCGGACTTCTTTCTCTCTCTCTCCATATAATCCGTTATATGAGGGAGTGTTTTACATCAAACGGACCCTCGATATAACGGACTGTTATTACATTATAGTTCGTTAGATTGAAATTCCACATCTAACGGACCCCTAATATAATGGAATTTCCTCTATATAGTCCGTTAACCCTTTGACGACGATGATTTAACCCTTTGATGACGATGATTTAACCCTTTGACGACGATAGCTCAACCCTTTGACGACGATAGCTCAACCCTTTGACGACGATGATTTAAATAGAGGTTTCACTAGTAATAATATATAATTCAAATATTTACGGTCATTTAACATTATTATGTCACATTATCTTACACATAAAAGTTACTTAGGGTCTTATAATAGGGCCGCCACCTTAATAATTCGTCTTTAGTCTTTATCCACAATAGACCCACAAGTGGATTTCTAATGAGTAGTTTGTACACGCCTGGAACTCCCCTCACTGTACCATAACACTACAGGATGAACCTTCCCTCACTGTACCATAACACTACAGGATGAACCTTCCCTCACTGTACCATAACACTACAGGATGAACCTTCCCTCACTGTACCATAACACTACAGGATGAACCTTCCCTCACTGTACATAACACTACAGGATGAACCTTCCCTCACTGTACCATAACACTACAGGATGAACCTTCCCTCACTGTACCATAACACTACAGGATGAACCTTCCCTCACTGTACATAACACTACAGGATAAGACCTTCCCTCACTGTACCATAACACTACAGGATGAACCCAACCTCCCACTGCTTGCCTTTTCTAGGATGAACCTTCCCTCACTGTACATAACACTACAGGATTAGACCTTCCCTCACTGTACATAACACCACAGGATAGACCTCCTCACTGTACACTTAACACTACAGGATGAACCTTCCCTCACTGTACCATAACACTACAGGATGAACCTTCCCTCACTGTACCATAACACTACAGGATGAACCTTCCCTCACTGTACATAACACTACAGGATGAACCTTCCCTCACTGTACATAACACTACAGGATGAACCTTCCCTCACTGTACCCACATGTCGAACCTCTCATAATAGTTCAATCATTTTATTTCCTCTGCTGGCCTATCACGTCAGTTCCAGTTATCAAGTGTCGTGATGATTAGTTTAGTTATTTGCGTCATCTTCTCTCCATTCCTTCACAGATGGTTGGGTTGCAGTGAGGGTTGGGTGGCAATGAGGGTTGGGTGGCAGTGAGGGTTGGGTGGTTCTGAGGGTTTGGTGGCGGTGAGGGTTGGGTGGCAGCGAGGGTTGGGTGGCTCTGAGGGTTGGGTGGCTCTGAGGGTTGGGTGGCAGTGAGGGTTGGGTGGCTCTGAGGGTTGGGTGGCAGTGAGGGTTGGGTGGCAACGAGGACATTAAGTCATTTAGTCTAATGTTAATAACTTTCCAGTGTCGCGTCCTGTACACCTCTGAGTTCTATAGTGAGCGCTGCTCTGTAACGCTGGAAATACCTCACACGTGAATTAAAATCCTATCAGGTTGAAAATTCCGACAAATGTTTTAATCTTGTTTAGATATTGTTGATTGTTATATATTTCGTGGTTCGGATGAATGAAGAAAAAATTAACTTAATAAGCTATGAAACTTTCCGATTGTTTGAACGAGTTATTGAAGTATTGGGACCATTGATTCATCTCTTTTCTGATATCATAAGTCTGTACCTCATTTACCATTAAAGGTCTGATGTAGGATCTTGAGCTGTACCCGGGAGCAGATCAGATGCTGTGGGTCTTGGGCAGTAGGCCAGAGCACAGCCGACGGAGCGTGTTGGCTGCGTCACCCCGAAACTGGTGACTTCGTATGTTGTAGAGCCAAGGGTTCCAGGCCGTTGCCGCCAGGAAGAACCACCAACCGAGATATTCGAAAAGGTGATCGTAACTGCCCATGTCGAATTGGTAATGGTATAAGATGAGGTGAAACAATATCACTATGCCGCCTGGAATAACAGAGAGAAGAAACAATATTGTCATCATCAACTGGCTGAAGAAGATGTACCGACTTTCTTCGTGGAAAAAGCGGGAAACTCTCATGTTCAAGGTCTCCATCTCAGCAGCTAAATGGATTTGCTCTATAGCAAAACTGATGATTGCTATAGTGGAGAACACGATCGTCGACGCTACAGACAAGGCTAATAATATGGCCAGCAGGATATGAAAGTAAAAATAACCTCCACTATGGAATGAAGAGTCCTCTGAAATTCCAGACGGTATCTTGACCATAGAGTTGTAACCTAAACTAATTCCATTTTCTCCTGAAGCGAGAAGTAAAGCGTTAATTATTCCGATTAGCCAAATGAAGGTGATGGCTAACATAACCCAACACATTGAAATGTATTCTCTGTAGCGTAAAGGTCTGGTAGTGAGCACAAATCTCTCGAAGCTCAGTAAACAGAGAGTGTGTACTGATACAATGGAACAAATGCTAAATGTAAGACTCCGTAGAAGGGGGAACCCACTGTCACTTTTATAAAATCCCAATGTTAGGTTGTTAGAATAGTTTGAACTAGGGTCGTCGTCCCACCGCCATTCCCGTAATTGAGGTGGGTTGAGGAAGGGCGCGAGGTGTTGAAAGAAAGCTGGCACTACCACTATGAGGGCCGTGAGGAGGTCAGCTGTGGCCAGGGAGGTGCGGAGCACACATGACTCCTGACCCCTGTGACCTCCACTTAGCATGACCATCACCACCAGCAGGTTGCCCAAAACCCCGCTCGCACCTATACCTCCCACCATCAAAATCAAGAGCACTTCACCTGTTCGGCACGGCGTCGGTAAGTAACTCCAAGCAGCATTGAGCCCGTAGTCCGCAGGGTTATCCAGCCACACAACTGTATAGTAGGCGAAGCAGCAGGGCCAGTATATGTTGACCAACTCGTACATGGTGGTGTTCCTCTCTCTCATTAGAGCTATCCCGACTGGATTGTTATCACAAGATTTGCCACTTAAAGAAACAAAATGAAGATTCGAAAGTTTGAAAGACACCCCATTCACTTCACCGTCGATTATCCTACAAGTTCCTTCACAGACCATCTCTAAACTGGTTATATTATTATTGACCAAATACCACACGATATATACTTCAAAATACTTACTACTGTAATAGTCAACTGGGCGAGGACAGGTGAGCTGGTTGACGAACACAACACTTAGGTTATCAGTCTCACGACAGACGGTGGCAAACTTATTACCCTCACACTTATTATACCTCTTGTACAGTGGCAGACAGAGATTGGCGTAACGCTCACTCTCATACACTTTGAATGAAACGTTTTTGTTCAAATAATCTACCGAGAAGAAAGCAACTTTATTGCTTCTATACAACATGAAATATAAATCATCACACAGTTCATAAGTTTCATTGAAACCAAAAGTTAGACCTTCTTTGCCGTCACACAGTTCCTTATTGCCGAGGTTTGCCGAGGAGAACGTGCGTGGAGGATGGCGACACAAGTAGTGCCTGTCGATGTTCATCACCCAGCTTGTGGAGGATTCTGCCTGTCGCATAGTTTCCTGTGTCCCCTGGTAGGGATCCTTGGGAAGGTAGGACGGAAGTGAGGTTGAGGGAGAGACTTTGCCACCGAGTAACTTGTCCTCTCCCACAAAAACACGATCCTGTGAAGCAGTAAGAGAGACGGAGTTCAGAATTGCGTTGTCACCGCTGTTCTTGGTGTTGTTGTTCCCACTAACTTGACCACGATTTTTGCTGGCGGTTCCTCGACTGTTGGTAGTTTTCGACATGGCTTCAGGTAGCGGTGAAATCAATGTAGAATCGTTTACGAAAGGACATTTTGGGTTGCATTCTTCCTGGGCCCCGGCGAGCTGCAGGCTCCCTCCCACAGTAATCGTACTCAACAGCAGTGGCAGCATGAGGACCTCCTCGGCATACTTCATCATCTGAAAAAAAAATCAATAAAATTTATCGCAAAGGTATTCTTTAGCCGTTGTCCATAAAGCTGCTGGCATTGTTAGTGGGGAAAATAAGGAAAGTTGTTAGGGCAAGTTATAAAATGCTAACAACACTGTAGATAACCCACATTCACAACTGTATCGTGATGTAAAGTGAATCTTCGTGTGGGCTAGTTGACCAATCACAGTTACGGATATTTTGTCTTGTTACTACTGAGAAGACTTAATAGCCCCAGGTAGGTAATATGCATAGTTGTATTTTACATGTATCGTGGTCAAATTTCAGCTGCTCCCCGGGTGATGATATTGAAGGGGGACTATAATGTAATAAAGCACAAAAAACACTCAGGGAAACGATCTCGCTGCACTAGTAGGGAGGTGCTAACTGACGCCCGTTATTTAACCTTTTACATTTACCTTTGAAAGAGAAAGTTGGAAGAAGGTGGAGGTTATAGTGAGTGGCGAGTTAGTGAAGAGAACCATCTTTGCTGTACTAGTTTGTTTATGACGAAATATAGAAATGTGGCATACCAACAAAAACAAACACACATAGAGCTGCTGACGCTGTTACTTTTAGTTAAGTTTAGTTCCGTTTACTTCACTTGAATCCACCATGGTCAGTTGGTCGCTGTAAGTGGTTGTGAAAAAGTCAGGTTGTGGTGTTGGGTTATAACAAGACAGGTTGTGGTGTTGGGGTATAACAAGACAGGTTGTGGTGTTGGGTTATAACAAGACAGGTTGTGGTGCTGGGTTATAACAAGACAGGTTGTGGTGTTGGGTTATAACAAGACAGGTTGTGGTGCTGGGTTATAACAAGACAGGTTGTGGTGTTGGGTTATAACAAGACAGGTTGTGGTGCTGGGTTATAACAAGACAGGTTGTGGTGCTGGGTTATAACAAGACAGGTTGTGGTGTTGAATTATAACAAGACAGGTTGTGGTGTTGGGTTATAACAAGACAGGTTGTGGGGTATAACAAGACAGGTTGTGGTGTTGGGCTATAACAAGACAGGTTGTGGTGTTGGTTATAACAGACAGGTTGTGGTGTTGAGTTATAACAAGACAGGTTGTGGTGCTGGGTTATAACAAGACAGGTTGTGGTGTTGGGTTATAACAAGACAGGTTGTGGTGTTGGGTTATAACAAGACAGGTTGTGGTGTTGAGTTATAACAAGACAGGTTGTGGTGCTGGGTTATAACAAGACAGGTTGTGGTGCTGGGGTATAACAAGACAGGTTGTGGTGCTGGGGTATAACAAGACAGGTTGTGGTGTTGGGTTATAACAAGACAGGTTGTGGTGTTGGGTTATAACAAGACAGGTTGTGGTGTTGGGTTATAACAAGACGGGTTGTGGTGTTGATTATAACAAGACAGGTTGTGGTGTTGGGTTATAACAAGACGGGTTGTGGTGTTGGGTTATAACAAGACAGGTTGTAGGTGTTGAGTTATAACAAGACAGGGTTGTGGTGCTGGGTTATAACAAGACAGAGTTGTGGGGTTGCTCAAGACAGGGTGGTGCTGATATAAGACAGGTTGTGGTGTGGGTATAACAAGACAGGTTGTGGTGTTGGGTTATAACAAGACAGGTTGTGGTGTTGGGTTATAACAAGTTTTGTATGTTGGGTTATAACAAGACGGGTTGTGGTGTTAAGAGACAGGTTGTGGTGTGGGTTATAACAAGACAGGTTGTGGTGTTGGAACATTTCAAGACGGTTGTAGTGCTGGGGTATAACAAGACAGGTTGTGTGGAGTGAACAGGTTGTGGTGTTGGGTTATAATAAGACAGGTTGTGGTGTTGGGTTATAACAAGACAGGTTGTGGTGCTGAGTATACAAGACAGGTTGTGGTGTTGGGGTATAACAAGACAGGTTGTGGTGCTGGGTTATAACAAGACAGGTTGTGGTGTTGGTTATAACAAGACAGGTTGTGGTGCTGAGTTATAACAAGACAGGTTGTGGTGTTGGGTTATAACAAGACAGGTTGTGGTGTTGGGCTATAACAAGACAGGTTGTGGTGTTGGGTTATAACAAGACAGGTTGTGGTGTTGGGTTATAACAGGACAGGTTGTGGTGTTGGGTTATAACAAGACAGGTTGTGGTGTTGGGTTATAACAAGACAGGTTGTGGGTGCTGAGTTATAACAAGTCAGGTTGTGGTGTTGGGTTATATAAGACAGGTTGTGGTGTTGGGTTATAACAAGACAGGTTGTGGTGTTGGGTTATAACAAGACAGGTTGTGGTGTTGGGTTATAACAAGACAGGTTGTGGTGTTGGGTTATAAGCGTTATCTCCTTGGTGAGGCTTCCTGTCACTCACTGAACATCCGGAAAGACAAACACTCAGTCTCCTTCTCGTCACGGGTCGTAAACTGAAGTCACTCATCCTTTTACACACATACCAACAAACTATTATCACTACACTACACTGCACTACACTACACTACACTACACTGCACTGCACTGCACTGCACTACACTACACTGCACTGCACTACACTACACTACATTACACTACACTACACTGCACTGCACTACACTTTCACTACACTACACTACACTACACTACACTGCACTGCACTACACTTTCACTACACTACACTACACTACACTGCACTGCACTACACTACACTACACTACACTACACTACACTACACTACACTGCACTGCACTACACTACACTACACTACACTACGTCATAACACACACACATGATTTAATATTTAGCGAATTTAATTTCCTCAATATTTTATAACGAACCTTGAATCATCTTAGTTGACAGACGCGTGAGAGAGACGAAGTCAGCACATATGTAGCGTAAGACAACGTAAGTATAGCAAAGGTTAAAGGTACTTCGTTACGTTTAGTAGTTTTGTTTTGTCTACAGCGGCCACAACGCGTCCTGCTCTTATCTCTAAACAAAACTCTGCCACTTACCATTTTGTTTACGTTGTGACGCGTTCTACATTAGGCAGTGATATCAGCCAATCAGAATTCGTAGTGCTGTTAATGTTCACCCATTGGTTGATGTGTGTGTGTATCGATAAAAGAAACCAGTTTAGACGCTGTTGTTCTTCACCGGTCGAGAATATCAACAATACTGAGCTCCTGTTTGATGCTATGACGTCACATCCGGCGAGAATGTTAATGTTAAAGCAATATCCACGAACTTGAATACGATTTTTTTTTCTTTTAAGGGCACAAGAACCAGCCAGAACTAACCTAACCTAACCAAACCTAACTTAAGATTTATCAACACCAAGGTAATGTCGACTGCCTGGCGATACAGCTTTGTTTTGGTCGGTTATTCACTCAGTACTCACTCTTTACCATGACGACAACATTAGTACCGTAAGTATCACTATGACAATAAGTACTTTACAATTACCATGAATACCACCACAATCTTCATAAGTACCACCACACCTCATAATAACAAGTACTACCACGATTTTCACAACAACCACCCCCGCCCCCCTCTCTCTCCCACAACTGTCACTTACCCAATGGTCTTCGTCAACACAGAACTGCACCACCCCCTCCCCTCCCTCCCCTCCCCTCCTTCCCTTCCTCTCCCCTAAAAGTCTTGCTAAACATGTCCTTACTATGTGTATCTCCAAGAGGTATATGGGAGAAGGGGAAGGAAGGAAGGAAGGGAAGGAAGGAAGGAAGGAAGGAAGGAAGGAAGGAAGGGAAGGGAAGGAAGAAAGGGAAGGAAAAAGGAAGGGAAGGGAAGGGAAGGGAAGGGGGAAGGAAGGGAAGGGAAGGGAAGGGAAGTAGAGTAACTTAATATCGATCTTAACTGACAGATAAAGTATGTTGATAGTTCACATCCACCACACCACAGACCAGGAACATACACAGTCTCACTTGACACTATCATACAAGAGAAATAAACCCAGTCTTCTCTCAAGCTACAGAAACAATGTGACCTCATAAAAACTGATATGGTAGGCTTGTTATCGTGTGTGTGTGTGTGTGTGTGTGTGTGTGTGTGTGTGTGTGTGTGTGCATGTGTGTGTGTGTGTGTGTGTGTGTGTGTGTGTGTGTGTGTGTGTGTGTGTGTGTGTGTGTGTGTGTGTGTGTGTGTGTGTGTGTGTGCATGTGTGTGTGTGTGTGTGTTATTAACAGCGATATAGTGACCCCGACCTCCAGTACTTGAGTCCCCCCCCCCAATAACCACAGTTTTCTATGAGTCACCACAAAGATTATTGAAAACAGCCCCAAAGTATAAATTCAACTTCGTAGTTACATAAATTCTGTTTTAAGAAAATCTACATCAAGTTTTGGGATCACGTGAATATTACGACACCCAGCTTATTTTACCTGACGATTAAAACCTAAGTCTACCTGGATGGAAGGTTAGGTTACGTTACATTATGTTAGGTTAGGTTAAGGTGTTTGATTATCAGGTGAAATAAATTGGGGTGTTTAATCTTCATGTAATCCAATGTTATGTGATTGTAGAGTCATTTGCCCCCACGTGTTGTTGGGCGTCACGAGGTCCTATAGTCTGTGTCTGTCTTCACTATCACATGAAGACTTATCAGTTGCCCTCAGTGACGTCACTGCTGTACACACTACGGGTATATTTCTCGTTCATTACAATTTTACAAGGATTATTAAAAGTAATGCATAAATAATTATCATTTATTTCGTAAATTCAGAGACTATAATTTACAGTTTCTATGTCGTCATATTTCGTGAGTGATGGAGAGTTGTAAACTGCCGGAGTTGTACAGTGTCTTGGAACCTCAGGTGGAAATATTCACAACTTTTCGTCATGGTGTTCAGAACTGCCTGTCCTCGAGACGACCGAACTCTTGGTTCCTGACGTAGTAGTTGGAGGCTTCCTGGCAGGGGGTGGCCGACGACTCCATCACGCAGGTCATCTCCTTCTGGTCGAACACGGTTCCCTCGCCGCACATGAAACTAGAAAAAGGAATAGTTATATTTTATGGGATATATGACATGCAGGCCGTTGGTTTATATATTAATATACGGGGCGGCAATATAAGAACGCTTGGATATCTCGTACTGGTGACATATATTACCAACAGACCATCCAGGTTTTGTGACACAATTCCTCAATATCAAGCTAACTCACCTGTACTGGAAGGTCTGGATAGCACCGTCAGAGAAGAGGGCGGGATTACACACATGGAAGACGCGGCAGGAGTTGTCTTGGTCGGCGTAGTAGCCGTAGGGACGGTCAAAGCAGTTGAACGTCGTGGAGATGCTACCCATCAGGACGCTGGCGCCAGAGGGAAGGTTCAGAGGTTCATAGACGCCGCTGATGGTGTCGTCAGAATTCTCAAATGATGATCCAGATCTCTGGAAAGCATTACCCTGGAACTGACTTTGCTGGAAGATGCGATCGTTAGTGTTGAGCTGGGAGCGGGTGGCAGCGTTTTGCTGGTTGAAGTTGCCTTGGCTGGTTCTGTCGATGTTTTGTTGGTTATTGTTGACCTGGAAACGGTTGCCGTTATTCTGCTGAGAAGTGAATGTCTGGAAGCGATTATTAGCATTATTCTGCTGGGATGAGCTACTCTGGAATGCGTTGTCGGCATTCTGTTGGATGGTGTTAGACTGGAAAAGGTTACCAACGTTTTGTTGTGTGGTTCCTGACTGGAAACTGCCACCACTGTTCTGCTGGACGTCGTTGAAGTTGTTGCGTTGGCTCTGCTGGAAAGAACTGTCCTCGAACTGACTGCGGTCAGCAACATTTGCTCTGAACTGGACATTATTGACGAAGGTGCCAGACTGTCTGGAGACGCTGCTGTCAACCAAACCAGACCTGAAGTTGTCTCTCTGAGTGTCTTGTAAGTTGTTGTTGGGCTGGAAGGAGGAACTCTGGAACTGATTCTTGTTGCTATCTGCGGATCTGAAAGTAGAGCTTCCAGTTTGCTGGAAGAATCCCTGATCAGCAAGCCTGACGGCGGGAGTGAAGTCCCTCTTCTGCTGGAACTGTTGACCAGCAGCCAGCGCCGCCGCCAAGACCACTGGAAACACAACATATTACCAACTATGATACACAAACTTGTGACAAGTAAAAAAAATATATATATCCTTATAAAATCGTCACCAAACTTACCCTTTCTAAGGTAATTTTCTTATAAAGCGAAGCATGTTTATATCTTACCTTTACGACATTTGGGTAACTTTTCATATATTAGTGATACATGAAGAACGCTTCTTGAATGGCCAAATTACTGCCTACATTAATGTTGTCTATTTTTAAAGACGTGAATCTTCTCTGTGAAGACCTCGGCCATCCAAGGCTCATAAATGTGTATTGGAAGACTTTACCTCATCATCTGATGATGAGACGATTAATTAATTAACAACTCGTCTTTTGTCTGGAGTGTTGGAGACGAATAATACTTGTTAATGATACTTAATATCTCAAGTTAAACTTTGTAATTATTGATAAGTTAAGACTATGTGTTATGAAGTATGACTTAAGAATTTAAAGACCATCTCACCGATGATGAAGGTCTTCATGACTGTCAGTGTTGGGCAGGTGTGAGCTACTGTCACCTCCCCGCCACAGCCGCCCTTATATACCCTGGGAGACGCCTACGAGAGAGGAGTGAGGGGGACCTGGAGTGGTGAGTCGAGTTGAGCGGGAAGGCGGGTGGTGCAGGTAGGACGGCAGCTATGGCCCATTCTCCCTACCAACCCTGTCTTATACTTCTAATCCTGTCTTCATTATTAATCTTCAACATATTCCTTTCCCTTGGAAGGTTAAAATCAAGAAGTTTCCTTTCGTATTATTTAAATTCACTCGACTTGGTTATGTGTAGAGTGAACTTCAGCATATTGATCACAAGGCGAATGATCCCGAAAAAGTCACTTTAGTTGACAGGTTTGTTAAGTATGATGTTTTGCTTACTGATGAAATCGTCAGATCAAATTACACCGTAATTGTATGCCAAGATTTTATACCAGTCGACATGTTTACAAACTTAGTGGAGTTATTTGATGTAAAAATAGACTTACATTTTTATATGTCCTAATTTCTTGTAAGGCTGAGCTAGTATATGTTTGGTTAGTTTGGGTTAAGTTAGTTTAGATGGGCTTACTTTTTCAAATGACAATACATTAAATTAGCGCAGATTTTATTTGACTATAACTTATATCAAATTTGTTAGGTAAGTTTAAGCTTTGTGATATGTAAATACAATAAATTAGAGATAGTGGTTATCATCGGCCTGACGCCCGCTAGGGTCAGTGTGTATACAACAGGGTACACAAGCCTTTAGGCCGCCGCGCGAGGTTAAGTTGACATCGGTCACTTTAGGGTTGATCAGGTAATGTAAATTTAGGTTGCGTTTGATTCAAATAGTTTAATTTAGATTAAGTTTGTACAGTAAAGGTAATGATAAGTTGATTTGGTTAAATTAGAGGAAAGTCAAGTATAGATAATTTAGACTAACTTAGGTTAGATAAAGTTCATTTAGATTACGTTAGAAGAGACTGAGTTAAATTGGGATAAAATAGGTCAATTCAGGTTGAGTATAACTACTGAAGTTGTACTTTATTTATAAGTAATACAACCAGTCAGACACGAGCTGTGAAGAGTGAAAGTAGCGCTACAGGACTAGTACTGATAAAGACTCACTCAAGATGACACCCAACACTACACCAAGGTCTGGTGGTGGGGGGCTGGAGGCTCTGCTCTCTCAAGGTCATCGGGTGTTGAATAACGTGCAGAGTCTCACATTCCCTAGATTGTTTACTTTCTATTTTCGTCTTCTTGCTTCTTCTTATTCATCTTTTTATTTCTGTGTCTTTGTGTACTTGAAGAATAGTTTAGTGATCCATCATGTATATTGTCTTTGATTATATGTTAATAGGTGTGTTTGTGTGTTGTTACAACCGTGTCGTATTTTTCTATTTTTTTATATATAACATGCTCCCATGTTGTTCCATATTATTCCTGTAATGATGTGTTAAATTTACTATTATATATTCTAGTCACCTTACCCTGTGCTGTTAAGGTTTTAACTGTCATTATTTGTTCAAGCCCATCTTATTTCTTTATTTAGTATTGTTACAAGTATTCTTTGTTCTCTAACGACCATCTGCATCGTTAAACGACCCACCGGCGGGTCGCGTGGCGGGAAACCGACCTTATATATAGGACCCACCAACTGACGGAGTTAGTTCGGTCCTCTTGTCATACAGTTCACACACTCGTCACCTGTTTCTTATACTTAATTTATTTGTGTTGTTCCTGTCGCCACCAATGTGGTATATCTATGTGAGTACCTATTTATGTCTCTATTTATGTCCATCAGTATTTGCTTAGTTACATTTAAGTAATTCAGTGTTGGTTCCACGTTAGTTAATTTCAGTGTTAGTTTTTATATGTTTATTCAGTGTTAACGTAATCCAATGCTTTATTTCTATTCTATAGATGTTTAGTATCATTTGTGTCTTAAAAGTTTCGATGGTGAATCAATTTGTTGTGACAGTCTACGAGGCTCTTTATTGTGTTAAGATTTAATGAATTAAATTCTTAAAGGTTTACTTTATTTATTTTTATTCCATTTTAATTTACTTCACTTTTTTGTTTGGTTACGCCTAGAACCTGGATATTTAAGTAAATTAAGAGACGGCGTAACAGTGTGTGTGGGTGTGTGTGTGTGTGTGGTGTGTGTGTGTGTGTGTGTGTGGTGTGTGTGTGTGTGTGTGTGTGTGTGTGTGTGTGTGTGTGTGTGTGTGTGTGTGTGTGTGTGTGTGTGTGCATGTGTGTGTGTGTGTGTGTGTGTGTGTTATTAACAGCGATATGGTGACTCCGACCTCCAGTACTTGAGTCCCCCCCAATAACCACAGTTTTCTATGAGTCACCACAAAGATTATTGAAAACAGCCCCAAAGTTTAAATTCAACTTCGTAATTACATAAATTCTGTTTTAAGAAAATCTACATCAAGTTTTGGGATCACGTGAATATTACGACACCCAGCTTATTTTACCTGACGATTAAAACCTAAGTCTACCTGGATGGAAGGTTAGGTTACGTTACATTATGTTAGGTTAGGTTAAGGTGTTTGATTATCAGGTGAAATAAATTGGGGTGTTTAATCTTCATGTAATCCAATGTTATGTGATTGTAGAGTCATTTGCCCCCACTTGTTGTTGGGCGTCACGAGGTCCTATAGTCTGTGTCTGTCTTCACTATCACATGAAGACTTATCAGTTGCCCTCAGTGACGTCACTGCTCTACACACTTCGGGTATATTTCTCGTTCATTACAATTTTACAAGGATTATTAAAAGTAATGCATAAATAATTATCATTTATTTCGTAAATTCAGAGACTATAATTTACAGTTTCTATGTCGTCATATTTCGTGAGTGATGGAGAGTTGTAAACTGCCGGAGTTGTACAGTGTCTTGGAACCTCAGGTGGAAATATTCACAACTTTTCGTCATGGTGTTCAGAACTGCCTGTCCTCGAGACGACCGAACTCTTGGTTCCTGACGTAGTAGTTGGAGGCTTCCTGGCAGGGGGTGGCCGACGACTCCATCACGCAGGTCATCTCCTTCTGGTCGAACACGGTTCCCTCGCCGCACATGAAACTAGAATAAGGAATAGATATGTTATATGGGATATATGACATGCAGGCCGTTGGTTTATATATTAATATACAGGGCGCCTTAATATAAGAACGTATTTATATCTCGTACTGGTATATATTACCGCTAACAATTATCCAGGTTTTGTGACACAATTCCTCAATATCAAACTAACTCACCTGTACTGGAAGGTTTGGATAGCACCGTCAGAGAAGAGGGCGGGATTACACACATGGAAGACGCGGCAGGAGTTGTCTTGGTCGGCGTAGTAGCCGTAGGGACGGTCAAAGCAGTTGAACGTCGTGGAGATGCTACCCATCAGGACGCTGGCGCCAGAGGGAAGGTTCAGAGGTTCATAGACGCCGCTGATGGTGTCGTCAGAATTCTCAAATGATGATCCAGATCTCTGGAAAGTATTATCCTGGAACTGACTTTGCTGGAAGATGCGATCGTTAGTGTTGATCTGGGAACGGGTGGCAGCGTTTTGCTGGTTGAAGTTGCCTTGGCTGGTTCTGTCGATGTTTGGTTGGTTGTTGTTGACCTGGAAACGGTTGCCGTTATTCGGCTGAGAAGTGAATGTCTGGAAGCGATTATTAGCATTATTCTGCTGGGATGAGCTACTCTGGAATGCGTTGTCGGCATTCTGTTGGATGGTGTTAGACTGGAAAAGGTTTCCAACGTTTTGTTGTGTGGCTCCTGACTGGAAACTGCTACCACTGTTCTGCTGGACGTCGTTGAAGTTGTTGCGTTGGCTCTGCTGGAAAGAACTGTCCTGGAACTGACTGCGGTCAGCAACATTTGCTCTGAACTGGACATTATTGAGGAAGGTGCCAGACTGTCTGGAGACGCTGCTGTCAACCAAACCAGACCTGAAGTTGTCTCTCTGAGTGTCTTGTAAGTTGTTGTTGGACTGGAAGGAGGAACTCTGGAACTGATTCTTGTTGCTATCTGCTGATCTGAAAGTAGAGCTTTCAGTTTGCTGGAAGAATCCCTGATCAGCAAGCCTGACGGCGGGAGTGAAGTCCCTCGTCTGCTGGAACTGTTGACCAGCAGCCAGCGCCGCCGCCAAGACCACTGGAAACACAACATATTACCAACTATGACACACAAACTTGTGACAAGTAAAAAAAAAATATATATCTTTATAAAATCGTCACCAATCTTGCCCTATGTAACGTAATGTTATTATAAAGCGAAGCATGTTTATATCTTACCTTTACGACATTTGGGTAACTTTTCATATATTAGTGATACATGAAGAACGCTTCTTGAATGGCCAAATTACTGCCTACATTAATGTTGTCTATTTTTAAAGACGTGAATCTTCTCTGTGAAGACCTCGGCCATCCAAGGCTCATAAATGTGTATTGGAAGACTTTACCTCATCATCTGATGATGAGACGATTAATTAATTAACAACTCGTCTTTTTTTCTGGAGTGTTGGAGACGAATAATACTTGTTAATGATACTTAATATCTCAAGTTGAACTTTGTAATTATTGATAAGTTAAGACTATGTGTTATGAAGTAAGACTTAAGAAATTAAAGACCATCTCACCGATGATGAAGGTCTTCATGACTGTCAGTGTTGGGCAGGTGTGAGCTACTGTCACCTCCCCGCCACAGCCGCCCTTATATACCCTGGGAGACGCCTACGAGAGAGGAGTGATGGGGACCTGGAGTGGTGAGTCGAGTTGAGCGGGAAGGCGGGTGTTGCAGGTAGGACGGCAGCTATGGCCCATTCTCCCTACCAACCCTGTCTTATACTTCTAATCCTGTCTTCATTATTAATCTTCAACATATTCCTTTCCCTTGGAAGGTTAAAATCAAGAAGTTTCCTTTCGTATTATTTAAATTCACTCGACTTGGTTATGTGTAGAGTGAACTTCAGCATATTGATCACAAGGCGAATGATCCCGAAAAAGTCACTTTAGTTGACAGGTTTGTTAAGTATGATGTTT